CTACCAATATGACCAAGTTGCGAAAACAAGGTCAAACAATTTCTATACTACGGAAGGAGACTGCGACCACGAAAAAAGGCCACACCATCTTGGTCTTATACTTTCGATAAAGATTAAGTTTCATAAATGAGATCAAACCAGCGAAAGGAAATGTAACCAAAACAAAAGCATCTTAGTTTTCATGTCTATAATTAAAAATAAATTTTATACAGCGATGGTAGACCGCGATCAAAAGAGGCCCCACCATCTTAGTTCTAGCTACTAACCACTGAATCTCTTGTTTGCGATCATTAGTAGATTGTTTTCCATTTCAATAATTTTTTTTCTTTTCCAGGGAGCACTTCTCTGGCTAGACAGCATTTTATTTTTTTACCATCTATGCTGCCGTATTCCTCCACTTGCATCTAACTTACATTCGTCCACACAGATATATATATCTACTTTTGTTGTTCTTGATGTAAAAGTATTTCATGTTTGATTGGTCCATATTTTCAATTTGCAGAGCGGCTTTTTATTAAGTGAATACCCAAGGACTTTAAATGAGTTTGTATGATCATTTTCTATTCGCACAGACTCATTATAATATCCGTTCTTTTCTATTTTTTGCATAGGTAAACTTCAGTGAGCCTCTCTCAATGCTTCAGAGGCTAACTGAGGACTTTGAGTACGCTAGTTTACTGGACCGAGCAGCCGCATGCACTGAGTCTCTTGAAGCAATGACTTACGTCGCCGCCTTCACTGTCTCTGCCTATGCAACCACCTCTGTACGCACCAATAAGCCTTTTAATCCGCTTCTAGGTGAAACCTTTGAGTGCGATCGGACAGATGATATGGGCTGGAGGTCCCTGGCCGAACAAGTAAGTTTGTCTCTCAACTGGTGGTTGTAATACTTTTAAACCTTTCCTTGCGGTAATGAATTCACATATCTTGTATCTGCCAGAAATATTTTCTGGTTTGGAAGATCTAGAAAAATTCTCTTGCACCTAGGCCATGAAACTAGTACTATTACAATTGTCACACCATCACCATCATTTTATAGCTTCATCAGGGCTTTAATTTCCAAGTATTGCATTCTTCCATGTAAGCTAATTTTAATACCTCATTACGCTTTCTTCCTATTTAGCTCGTAAATCAATTTTGCGTCAAGATAATTCTATTTGTCATCGTTTTCAATCGCATCGTTAAATTATCCACTTTATCAGTTCTTTTGGACTGCACTTTATTAGCTCACTTAAGTTACTCGATAAAGTTCATTTCAGTTTACGCTGAGGCGTTTTTCGATCAATCCTGATGAATGGATATCTGAACGAGCGAATGTATTTGTTTTAAAACTTACATGCTCCAACATGAAACAAATTCTTAATTAGCCTCCAAAGGAAGATTTTCTTTGATTCTTAACTTTATAAAAAGAAGTTTTTGACATTATGTTTTTCAAATAAGTGAATTCGTACTGAGTTTTCGTCTTTTATTTCATCATAGACGTCGTCAGAGTGCGATCTCATTGCATGAATAAACCAACCAAGTCCTAAACCAACAATGGTTAGCAAAATAATTTATACCTATCACTGGAATATAATGAGGTTTATAATTATTTTGCTACCTCATGCTTCCTTTTATATGTATTCGAATGAATGAAATGAATGCGTTGAATCGATGCAAGCTCAGCCCAATAACCCTTTCTTTACCAAACCCAGACGTTTCGCCGGCATCGTAGTAGGCATCATAGTAAGCATCATCAGTGAGCTTTGCCAGTCTTAGTATCACACTACAACTCATCAAAAAGACAAGTGAGACTAATACTTTGGACAATTTTCTGCTAAACAATCGTGGTATCTTTCCTTCCGTCCTGGGCTATTCACCAATTCTATATCCTTCTATCGCACCTTCACTATAACAATTTATTAATTGCTTGTTTAGATGCCGTATGTTTTGCCCTTTTAGCGGATTTCATCAAAACTCTCCAAAGCTCACGCTGGCCTTCTGATCTCCTTACTCCACAATACCCTTCCTATAGGTGTTATCAGTCTCCCTCTTTTTCCCCGTAGGATCCGCCTCCTAACGTCCTGGTTCAGTTATTTCACTCGACTCCTGCCACTATACCTGTACTACTCGAAGCATTATTTCCCACACTGTTTCAAGCTCTTGATGGCACATCTACTTCCACATCGCTGAGTAGGCACATAAAATCAGGATTCTCAAACTGGGCTTGAGACTAAAGAGCCCATAAATGTTGTGGTTCTACTTGTTTTGATAGGCTTAATGTAGATCCACAACATTTGTGTGTTGGCATAGGAATTTATCGACTTTGCACTATGAATAGAAGCACGATAGATGCGGCGGAGACTAGTACTAGTTGGCTAACAGTAGACGTATTCCATAAGCAAAGGCTTTACTATGAGAATTACTCGGGCTCTTAAGCCTCAAGTTGATTTCCCGTCCTACGGGGCAAGAGGAGCAGACTGATAACACCTATGGGAAGAGTATTGCGTGGTGACGAGATCAGAAGGCCAGCGTGGGGCTTGGATAGTTTTCATGAAATCCGCTAAAAGGGCACAACATACCACATTTAAACAAGCAATTAAGAAATTGTGATAGTGAAGGTGCGATACGAGGATATAAGATTGGTGAATAACCCAGGGCGAAAGGAGAGATACCACGATTATTTATCACATAATTGGCCAAAGTATCGGCCTCACTTGTCTTTTTGACGAGTTATAGTGTGGTACTAAGCCTGGCAAGGCTCACTGATGATGCCGGCGAAACGTCTGGAAAGGTACCACGTCCACGGTCCGGCTCTTGTAATTATCATA